GTTCGATCCTCAGCACCACATAAAAATAAAATAAAGATGTTGTGGCCACCGAAAACTAAAAAATAAATATTAAAAAAATTCTCTCTTAAAAAAAATGTTAACTACAATATTATCTAATTTTTCAGGTTTTTGTTTATTTTGTATTTTTTTGTTTTCCATTTCTCTTTACAAAGTTACACAAATATTTTCCTTAAAGGTTTTAGCATTTTATATATCTTAATATATAATTAATCTGGTATGTGTATATACATTGTCTGTGATATGAGGTATATTTCTTTCTTATAATTAAAAAAACATTATTCAAGATTAAGGGATGTGGGCTGGGGATGTGGCTCAAGCGGTGGTGTGCTCACCTGGCATGCGCAGGGCACTGGGTTTGATCCTCGGCGCCACATAAAAATAAAATAAAGATGTGTCCACTGAAAACTAAAAAAAATAAATAAATAAAAATGTTTTTAAAAAGATTCAAGGATGAAAAAGATCAATCAGGGTAATAATAAAGTATTTATAAAGGTAAGGGCAAGATCAAGGGAAACCAATAAATTTTGTGAAGCACCTTTTTTTCCCATAGACTTGTAGAGGTAGGAGGTGAAAAAAGAGAGAGCCATTATGAAAACCTTGTAGGAGAAGGCAAACTAACTGAAGTTATTCTCACCCAAAGCATGAAGAAACCAACTCACAGTCTGAGTCTTATAGGGAGGAATAAAGCAACTTGCTCTACTTGTTTATTCTAAGCTCATCCCTTTGGTGTCCCTTTCTGACAGGCCTCAACAATAAACCACATAACAAGGGGACTTATCATGCAGCATATAGCATATGTCTCACCAAAAGGTGAAAGATTATGAGAAAAAAGTCAATATGGCAGCCACTGGTTACATGAGGCTACTAAGTATTTGAAATGTGTCTAGTCTGAGTTGAGGTATGCTATGTGTTAAATAGGCATTATATTCCAAAAAATTACTAGGACAAACAAAATGAACATGAAATATCTTATTAACAATTATTTTCTTTGCAAATTATGTTGGTTATCCATTGGGTTAAATAAAAATACATTAAAATTAATTTCTCTATTTTTTAAAAAATAACAAGGTAACAATCTATATCTTGACTGTATATCCATATATATGTTGTCATTTTTTATATTTGTGTTGTCAAAATTCATATAACTATAAAACTAAATAGGGCAAATTGTACCATGTATAAATTATATCTCAACAAACATGACTTTTGAAAAGAAATCTAGTTCATGAAATATTTTAACAGTATTGGGCACATACTAACTACCTAATAAATAATGACTATTATTATGATTCATTAAAACAACCAGCATCAGGCTGTTTCATAGTAGGGTGGGGAGGGGTAGCATATAGACAAACTTTAGCTTAGGGCAAAGGGGTGGGAGGCGACGGGAGAGGGCATGGGGTTAGAAATTATGGTGGAATGAGATGGACATCATTATCCAAAGTACATGTATGAAGACATGAATGGTATGAATATACTCTGTATACAACCAAAGATATGAAAAGTTGTGCTCTATATGTAATATGAATTATAATTCATTTTGCTGTCATATATAATAATTAAAAAAAAAAAAGCAAGCAAGGTGCTAAGCAGCTCAGTGAGACCCTGTCTCTAATAAAATACATAGGATTGGGGATGAGGCTTAGTGGTCGAGTGTCCCCAAGTTCAATCCCCGGTACCAAAATAAAATAATACAAATAACAAGAGTCAGGCAGTAGCACAGGTCTGTAATCCCAGTGACTCAGGAGGCTAAGACCAAAGGATTTGAAGTTTAAGGCCATCTTAGATCCAAAATAAAAAATAAAAAGGGTTGGGGATATAGTTCAGTGGCAGAGGGCTCCTGGGTTCAATCCCCAGGACCACCAAAACAAATAAACACCTCACAAAACACAATACAAAAAGAATGCAAATAACAATAAATATTGGCAAGGATGTAGGGAAAGACACTTGGTATACTCATGAATATTTTTGGTGAGATTGCAACCATTTTGGAAAATAGTATGGAGATTCCTTAAAAGACTAGAAATGGAACCACTGTATGACCTGGCTAACCCACTCCTTAGTATTTACCCAAAATAACTAAAAGCAGTGTATTACGGTGATACATGCATACCAATGTTTATAGCAGCACAATTCACAATAGCCAAGTTATAGAAGTAACCTGGGTATCTATTAACATACAAATGGATAAAGAAAATGTGGTGTATATATATACATAATGGAGTTTTACTCAGCCATAAAGAATGAAACTGTCATTGTTGGTAAATGGAACTGGAGAACATCATACCAAGTGAAATAAGCCAGGAAAGTCAAGGGTTATGATAGAGTGCTTGCCTTGCACATGTGAGGCACTGGGTTCCATCCTCAGCACCACATAAAAATAAAAGATAGTGTCCAGCTACAAAAAAAAAAAAAAAAAAAAAAAAGCTTAAAAATTAAAAAATACTTAAAAAGTGGAGAGGAATCTTATGAAAATAGAAGGGAAACCAATAAAGAGGGGAGAGAAGGGGAAAGTACTGGGGAAACAAAATATACCAAACTATGCTATGTCCACATATGATTACAATGAATTCTACTTATATAATTATAATGCATTCATTGAAATAATAGGAGATCCATAGAATAGAGCAAGTAGATTGGGAAGGGTAGAGCAGAAAGTGAAGGTCCTGGGGAATGAGAGTGATCTATTATGCCATGTATGAAGGTGGCATAATGAATCCTGGTATTATGTATAATCATAATCACCGATGTAAAAGATACAACAGTATCTAAGTATTCCTTTTGGCAGGGTGGTGGGTACAGAGCATTGAACCCAGGGCACTTACCACTGAACTATAAACCTAGTCCTTTCTATTTTTTTCAGATGATCTCAATAAATTGCTGAGGGTCTTGTTAAATTGCCTGGGCTGGCCTTGAAACTGCAGTCCTCCTGCGTCAGCCTTTTGGGATTACAGGAGTGTGCTACCACACCTGGCATATTCTGATAATTTTGGGCATGGAGTTTCATGAGTGGGACCTTCTATCAAATAAGATTTTTGTAGTTGTTGTTGCAGTCCCAGAAATCTAATTCAAATCAGATCAAGAGAAAAAGAAAAGCATTTAATTATCTTTAAAAAAACACCACAAAATACAAAACCTATACCCACTAGAGCCAGAGATTCAAACCAGTCATCAGGTCTTGGTCCTTCTAACCATCTCTCATTTCCTTTTTAATATGTATTTTTTCAGTTATAGGTGGACACAGTACCTTTATTTGATTATTATTATTTTTATAATTGTTGATGGATCTTTATTTATATGCAGTGCTGAGAATCGAACCCAGTACCTCATGCATGCCAGGTGAGCACTCTACCACTGAGATACAACCCCGGCCTTCATTTCTGCTTTTTTTTGTATCAAGTTTATTCTGTCAGGCAGCCAGCTACTCTCACATTTAACTCCAGACTCACCTCATCTTTAAAGGTAATGCTAGTAGAAAATATGTCTGTAAATTTTAACAATTTCCAGAATTGGCAGGACTTGATTCACATATCCATTCTGGAGGCTATTCTGCCTCATTTGAACTCCATAGTGAAAGGGTGCTTTCCCAAGAGAAAACCAAGGTTTTGCTACCAGAAAAGGGAGGAATGAATGGCAGAGGCAAAAACATCAGTATATTTGGGAAAAGGAGATAGGAAAAACCTCTTTAATTTGCAGTTTCTCACTGATATCATCCAACTAGGTTAGTAAAAGTTATCTGTAGCTTATTCTATCTAAAATGTCCAAGTTGTCTGGTGAAAGTTTCTGAAGTTCTGGGAGAGGAAACCATATTGTCAATACCAAAGTTGAAGATTCTTATCATTTGTGGCTTTCCATTATCTCACCCTAACCTATTTTTTTCCCATACTTAATGCTGCTTCCCTCTTGTGTGTTTGGTGTTGCTAAGGATTGAACCAAGGGCCTTGTACATGCTAGGCAACAGCTCTACCACTTAGTATGACCTTATCATCAAAATCAGTGCTTTTTAGAGATCTGGGCATTGGCTTTCTTGTTGTTTTTCCTTCCTGAATTTTTTAAAAAATATTTTTTTTTTAGCCGTTGATGGGCCTTTATTTTGTTAATTTATTTATATGAGTTGCTGAGAATCAAACCCAGTGCCTCACATATGCTAAGCAAGCGTTCCACCACTGAGCATCAACCCCAGCTCCTCCTTCCTGGTTTTAAAGGTATAATAAAATCTAAAAAAGCAGCATCAGAGATATAAACAGACTTTTCTTAATGAGAAGACCTATTAAAAAACTATTTTCTCCAAAGCATTCATTCTTTCTCCATGAATACTTTACATGTACAATTTCCAATGCTAAGAAGTCTCAAAACTTAGGATAGAAATCCCAGTTTTACTTGTAATAAGATGCACTTAAAAAAAAAAAGAGTATTTAAGATATGTTCAAAAATAGGTCACTTGGTTTTGTTTTGTTTGGTACTGAGGACTAAACCCAGCTGTGCTTTACCACTGAGCTATACCCATAGTCCTTTTTCAATTTTAAAAAAATTTTGAGGTGCTGGGGTTGTGGCTCAGTGGTAGAGCATTCGCCTCACATATGTGAGGCACTAGGTTCGAGCCTTAGCACCACATAAAAATAAATAAAATAAAGGTATTACATCTAACTACAACTAAAAAATAAATATTAAACAAAAAACTAAAACTATTAAAAAATACATTTTTGAGATAAGGTCTTGCAAAGTTGCTGAAGCTGGCCTTGAACCTGTGATCAGTCCTGCCTTAGTCTCCCGAGATGTAGGATTATAGGCATGCACCACTGCACCTTGCCATCTAGATTTTAGGCTAAATGTCTCCATCTTTTCACTCTTAGATAGATGTAATACATATATAATTTATTAACTTCCAAGGTTTCAGAATTACAAAGTAAAGTGATTTTTACTAAACAAAAAGAGGAATTGTGACATAAATGAAATTACTTTAAACATAAAAGCATGAATTAAAAGTACAGGCATATCATTATTTTTATTTTCATTTAGTCAAGTATGTTGTAGGTCAAGAAGTTAAACAAGATGCATGATACATATTTTACACTTTTTTACAAATTTCAGAACATAAAAAGTCACAATTTTCTCTATTATACTTATCAAACTCACATATTTTTATCTAAAATATTTATAAAACAAAACATATCCTGCAACAAAAGCAACATTATTAGGAGAGTTGTTTATTTTTTTTATTTTTATTTTTTTTTAAATATTTATTTTTAGTAGTTGTAGTTGGACATGATAACTTTATTTTATTTATTTATATGTGGTGCTGAGGATCGAACCCAGGGCCTTGCACGTGTGGGGCAAGCGCGCTACCACTGAGCCACAAACCCAGCCCCAGTTGTTTATTTTTTAATAGTTGATATAGAGCCAATTTTCCTCTCTAAGAACCTGGGGGGGGGGGGTTGGTACACACTCATGGTTCTTGCATACAATCAAGAATGTGCTATTAACAAGGAAATATATATATATATATAAATTCAGCTAAACATTCAAGATAAAAAGACTGACTTCTAATTTAAACCTAAATAAAAAAAGTGAATTTTGGATTATGTTTAAAAATACCTTCCCAAGCCACTCCTAATATATTTCTTTATGCCTTTACAAAGCAAATTCCAGGAGTTAACAATGTTTTGTTCTTCCACAGATCTTCCTGTTGGGAGCAGCCATCAATCATCTTCTTTTTCAATATAGGTCTTTGCATTAACCCGTGCCATTTGCCTGGCCAAGTACCTGTCTCTAGCTGACATTACAGTTTCCTCATTGTTCCGCTTTGCAAACTTGCTCATTGCCTCAGGTGGTCTCTCTTGTTCGTTGTCCTGTTCTTGCCTTTCCTCTGTGAGTCTGTGTTTTGCTCCCAGTGGTGTTTCAGAACTAGAGGGTTTGTCTTTTCTTCTTTCTTTGTCCTTTTCCATGTTTCTTATTTTGCTGAATCTTTCATGGTCAAGAAACTCATCTTTTGCCTTAGAATTTGGGCTGCCTTCCCGTCTGTCTCGATTTCTTTCTGAAAGCTGAACACTTACCTCTTGTTTTTCCCTATTTCTGTACTTATCATTATTTTCATATCTTTCCTTCCTTATTTTCATGTGTTCCTTCTTTGTTTTGCTTTTCTCTTCCTTCTCTCCTCCTCTCTCAATGTATCGGTCATGATCATTTTGTTGTTTATCTCTTTCTTGTTCTCTAGAGGAATATTTCTCCCTCTCTCTCCCCCTTTTCCATTCTCTATCGTCTCTTTCTCTCTGATCTCTTCTCCTTGATGCATCTTTTTGTTCATGCCTCTTCCAGTGGGAATCTCTATGACTGGCCTCTCTGTGCCTATGAGAATCCTTTTGTTTTTGGTGGTCACGGTCAGTATAATAATTCTCTTGGTCTCTGGACTGCCTCTCTTGGTGTGGATCTTCCCTCTTCTCATGCCCTCTTGACTTGGAACTTTTGGTGTGGTGTCTGGAACCATGTCCTCTTTCTTCACTAGATGACGGTGAGTGGGATTGATTCCTGTGATGCTTGGAGTAATTCCTAGAGGTCTCTATGACCTTTGGCCTTCGGCAGTTCATTTTGTTTTCTTCAATTTCATCATCCTCACTGCTCTTGGTATCAAAGTCACTGTCTGCATCTGGGTTTTCCTCCTTCTTTACACCAGTCTGGATAATGCATTTCTCCTGTAGTACTCTGTTCTCTGAATTTACTTCATCAGAGTAACCTCTTGATTTCTCTTCCTTTATTCCAGTCCTTTCAAAACTATGTAAAAAAAAATAAATAAATAAAAAAATAAGGTGCACATTATAGAAAGCAAATGAAGCATTCATATTATTTTTCTCAATATTTAAAATCATATCTATTTACTTTATAAACTAGCATGTTCAAACAATTCAGAATATTTTTAATATTTGTAGAAATGAAATAAGAGAAAATCAGCCGTTCTCTCTTGGACTACTAGAATGTTCATAGACAGGGATCTATACAAGTTTTTCATTTTTTTTTTTTTTTTTTTTGCTAAGCCAAGACAAAGACTAATTGGGAAAACTGTTTTGGATCAAAGCCCTATTTTCACAGCATGAAGTTAAAAGTTGTGATTTTTGTTAGATTTTTTCATTTTCTTTCTTTCAAAAAAATAAAGAATAATCCTAGAAGTACATGAAGATAATCTTTTCAAAGCAAATTAGTGGCAAGTCCAATTTATTTTTTATCCAGGGTCTCACTATGTTGCTCAGGTTGGTCTAGAACTTATGGATTCAAGGGATCCTCCTACCTTTCAGTCTCCTATGTGATGGGACTATATACATACATACCACATCTGGTTCCTAAATAATACTAATTAATCTTCCCTGTGATTAAAAGTGCACCAGCAATCTTCATAATGATCATAATAAAATAGAAATATATGAATCTGTCTGTTAAGTCAATACTAAAATTACTTGAATCATCTACATTTTTCCAGCTGATCGTTAACTTAGTGACAGTACTCACACATTCTGTTTTGTTTTTTCTCTTCTCTCAAAGTGCTAGGCATCAAACTCAGGGACACTCTACCACTGAGCTACATCTTCAGCCCTAGAAAGTGCTCTTCTACTAAGCTATATCCCCAATCCTATTTTTAAAATGTTGAGACAGTGTCTCACTAAGTTGCCTTGCAATCCTCCTGCTTCAGTTGCTGGGATTACAAGCGTGTGCCACCTTGCCCAGCTGATTCATTCTTATCACACACACTAACAACAACTTTAGTTCTCTTGGAACTCTAATAGAACTACCTTGACTAAAGAAACTACTACTAATTAGAAATTCAATTATTAAACTCAGAAGTGTACTATGTAAATGACTCAAAACTACACCAGATGAAACTGAGAAGTCATAATGCATTATAACTTCCATTTAAAAGCTAATTCTGCATATATACTTTATTAGACTCATGAACCTCATTTTTTTTTTTTTTTTGGTACTGGGGATTGAACCCAGGGGTGCTTAACCACTGAGCCACATCCCCAGACCTTTTTTTTTTTTTATATACTTTATTAGAGATAGGGTCTCATTGAGTTGTAAGTGATGAGTTGCTGAGACTTGCTTTGAACTTGCAATCCTTCTGCCTCAGCCTCTCAAGCTGCCAGGATTTCAGGAGTGCGCCACCATAACCGGATTCTCATAAATTTTATAATCAAAACCTATCAGTTTGGGGATGACTGGGGATAAATATAATTCTAGCAACACACAGACACAGATCTTCTAAATAGAATGTTTCTTTTCAAGAAAGTCTGCTTATTTACATGTTTAGGACAAATTCTCCTTTCTACCTTCAGCTATATATTTATAGCATAATTACCTTACTATCCCATAATAATACCTTATAATTTTATTTTAAATCCTCCAATCCTTTGCTTTTTAGACCAGCACTGTTTAACAGAAATGTCTGAAGAAATAGCAGTCTATGAGCTATCCAGGATGATAATCATTAGCCAAATACGGCATCTCAATACTTGAAATATGGCCACTGTTATACTGCTACATCAATGTTCATAGCCGCACAATTCACAATTGCTAGACTGTGGAACCAACCCAGACGCCCTTCAATAGATGAATGGATAAAAAAATGTGGCATTCATACACCATGGAGTATTACGCAGCACTAAAAAATGACAAAATCATGGAATTTGCAGGGAAATGGATGGCACTAGAGCAGATTATGCTTAGTGAAGCTAGCCAATCCCTAAAAAACAAATACCAAATGTCTTTTTTGATATAATGTGAGCAACTAAGAACAGAGCAGGGAGGAAGAGCAGGAAGAAAAGATTAACATTAAACAGATACATGAGGTGGCAGAGAAAGGGAGAGAAAAGGGAAATTGCATAGTAATGGAGGGAGACCCTCATTGTTATACAAAATTACATATAAGAGGTTGTGAGGGGAATGGGAAAATAAACAAGGAGAGAAATGAATTACAGTAGATGGGGTAGAGAGAGAAGAAGGGAGGGGAGGGGAGGGGGGATAGTAGAGGATAGGAAAGGTAGCAGAATACAACAGTTACTAATAGGGCATTATGTAAAAATGTGGATGTGTAACCGATGTAATTCTGCAATCTGTATTTGGGGTAAAATTGGGAGTTCATAACCAACTTGAATCTAATGTATGAAATATGATATGTCAAGAGCTTTGTAATGTTTTGAACAACCAATAAAAAAATAAATAAAAAAAAAATAAAGTCAACAAATAAATGACCTAACATCATATCTCAAAGTCCTAGAGAAAGAGGAGTAAGTCAACATCAAAAACAGTAGAAGAAAGGAAATAAAAAAAAAAAAAAAAAGAAATATGGCCACTGTTGATTAAAAGCTTAGATTTCATTTATTTTTAGTTTAAATAGCTACATGTGACTAGTGGTTACGTAACGGACAGTGAAGTGTTAGCTGCTGGCATGTGAATCTTCTGTTTTATGAAGATTGGGTTCTAGTTAAGAAAATAAACCACTTTCCTTTTATAAACTGCTTTACATTTAAATACTATATAAACAGCACATAGAGTGTTGTATGATACCTCATTCATTCCAAATTTCTCCTTAATTCTCACATCAATCCTTGTAAGGCACCAGGGCCATGAGAGAAATCTATATTTTGAGTTTAAAACAAAGAAAACAAAACACCATAACTTGATTTTGCTTATCCTTTAAAATTATTCATAAAACCCATAAAACAGATAATTCAGAAATTTGTACATTAGAAGTTTAATATGTCTTTGGTTTTTATAGAAGCTATACCCACTGCTGCTCCAGTACTAAGATTAGAACCCAGGGGCACTCTACCTCTCAGCCCATTTTCTTTTGAGATAGGGTCTTGCTAAGTTGCTGAGGCTGGCCTCAAACTTGAGATACTCTTGCCTCAGCCTCCTGAGTAGCTAGGATTACACACATACACTATTACATCTGACATGGTTTTATGATAATATTAAATTAAATGACAGAGAATGTTCTGACATAAATTGTAATTATTTTTGTGAACTGCAGAATAAAAATGATCTTGAAGTAAATCTATAGATATTTATATCAAGAAACTGCAAATTCTTAGCTATTCAGTTAGGTCAGTTTGGTGGACAGTATAACATGCAATGCTGTGATACTCTAAGTGTTAAAATGACCCCATAACCAAGATTATTATCAGTATATTCTAATATTCCATTTGCCACCTCTCACCTAGCTTCACGAAAGCTGCATTTAGGTACTTCCTCTTCTCCAACTGCTTGATTTAATAGGTGCCTATAAAATCCACTGAGGTCTTTCTGTTTGGTTACATCCAAACGTGCTAAGGGAAAGCAAAAGACAAAATATAATATTCAACAAGGCATAATGCATTTTCATTTTACATGTGTAGAGTAAATATCACACTGAGATGTGTATGTATTCTGTTCTTCTACATTTGGAGTTGGCAAACTATAGTCTACAGGTCAGATTTGGTCTGTTGCCTATTATTGTTTTTTAGGTACTGGAAACAGAATCCATGGGTATTTAAGAACTAAGCCATGTCCGCTCAGTTCATTTTTATTTGGAAACAGGGTCTTACAATGTTGCCAAGTGTTTCATTAAGTTGCTGAGGCTGGCCTCAAACTTCTGATCCTTCCAAGGTACTGGGATTTACTGCATGTACCACTGCACTGGCTGATACCTATTTTTATAAGTATGTTTTTATTGGAACACAGCCTTCCTATTTGTTTTTGTCCACAGATACTTGGGCAGAGAGAAAGAGTTGCAATAGAGATCAGATAGACAATAAGTCTAAAATACTTACTATTTGATCCTTTATAGAAAGCGTGCTGCTTGGTGGTCTAAATGAACACATAGTACATGCCTAGACACAATTTTATAGATTTGTTTTTTTTCCACTTAAGAGTTGAAGAGCACTTACCAAATACATTATTTGTAAGTATATGTTATACTTAGTTCTTGAGAAATGACCATGAGTAAAAAGCACTAAGGTAGAATACTAAGATATTCTTTAGTCCCTGTACATATCTTCTGTCTTTGATCGCTATTCTTTTTCTAGCTGCTCAGTTGATGCTTCTTAAGTGGTGACTCTAGGTTCTAATCTCAGCAAGTATTAGAGTTCAAAGTTATATTGTTCTGACAAATGTTATGGTGTTACATATACCTTGTAATAAGTGTTTTTGGATTCATGTTCTACTGCAATGACTTATGATGATTACAGTGAGATCAAAATGAGAACTAAGTGAAAAGTCCAGTAGAAATAACAGTTACTAAAGTAGAATTCAACTGTTCTTAGTTAAAAACCTCATGTTTTTTTTTTTAATATATATATTTTTTGTAGTTGTAGATGGACAGAATGCCTTTATTTTATTTGTTTATTTTTTATGTGGTGCTGAGGATTGAACCCAATGCCTCAAGCATTCTAGGCAAGCGTTTTGCCACTGAGCTACAGCCCCAGCCCCCCCAAATCTCATGTTTTATACTACTATACAATACTATATATCTTGAACCTTGAATTCATATACATACATTATGATCACATTATTAAGTCCAAAGTTTGGTGACAGAGCAAATGGCTAACCATAAGGCAGAAATTCTGTTTCCCTCTACCTTTCCCTTTTCCCATTTTACCTTCAAGTGCAGCAGCCTTCTTTTCTCTTTCTTCCTCTTCAGCTCTCTCTTGCAATTTTTTTTTATAAGCAGATGTCACAAATGCCTCTTTATCATCAAATTCTCCCTTTTCCATTTCTCGTTCTCTTTGTATTTTCTTTTCCATTCTTTTTTCCTGTTCCTTTTTTCGGATTTCAACTGCTTTTAGTAAGTTATGAATATATTTTGGCTAATAGAAAAAAACAAGATTACTTAGGAAGGAGTAAAAAATAATTGTTATTATTCTATAACTTTTATCATGAATTCACTAACATTGAAATTGTTAGTCCAAACAGGAATGTCATGTCAAAATTCAATAAAAATCAAGTGCAGCAGAAATAGAAATTTATGTGATTGTGCTTTCAAAATAACAAAACAAACTAAATAAAACACTTTCCCAGTGGTATTTTTTCCATGATAAACTGGTATTCTCTTAATTCAACATATAAATTAATCAGGAAAATTTCTATGAGTTTTTTATATTTACTGGAAAATTATTTAAAACAGCAGCTCCAATATAATTTGATATCTCATTCTACTAATAGATATATTATAAGATGTGAAGATCAATACCCTCTACCCTCAATTTTTTCATACTAAAATTATGATCAGGATATGTGTAAGCAGATGATTCAATTACCAGCTAGGAAGCAAAATAAAATTGAGAAGACAATAAAACATGAGTAAACATGAACAAGGGAATAGCAGCATAATTTTGGTACACAGACTTTTCTCAGGAAAAAAATTCAAAAAAGTATTTGCTGAGGTCATTAAAGCAAAACACAGAATTTACAAAACTGTTAGATAATCCACTCTTAGGATCCTGTTAATAATACTATATATAAAGCTTTCAGGGTTCTAAATTCAAATCTATAATCTAAAAATAGGAGCTCTTCACATACTTCAGATATCAACCTTTGGACTCTAAAATATTATTGCACATACTTTTAATCATCCCTCAGATGATTTTAATCTTAAGATTAAGATACAAAATGCTGGTTGAGGTCAAAGAAAGTTTGATTTCGCTACCAACCTTCCGATCTTTTCCCAAAAGCAATTTGGGATTATTTTCCTCCTTTTTTTTCTGCATTTCATCATAAATACTGTCATATTCATACACAGTAGAATCTTCTGCAAGGGCCTTCTGAATTTCCAGTTTGGTCTTAAAACAAACAAACAAATAAATAAATAAAACTGAATGTTTCAAAAATACAACCCAGCTGATACTTACTGCCAAAATCCTATGGTTTTTAAAAAAATTAAAAGATTAAAAAGATTCATAAATTGAAAATAAATCATAAAAATTCCTTCAATCACAGAAAATATGAACGTAAATTCTGGAGTCAGGCTGAATTTGAATTCTGGCTCTATGCTTATCATTAGGCAAGTATTCTACTACTGAGCTGCATTCCCCATCCTTTTTAAAAAATTCTGAGACAGAGTGTTGCTAAGTTGCCCAGGCTGGCCATGAACTTTGCCCAGCTTATTTAACCTTTTCCTCAATCAAGGAGAGGATAATAATTATACTAACTTCCCAAGTTGTGATAACTTAAACAACATGACAACTAAAATAGAGTCTAACAGAATATTATCCACATCAAAAGGTACAGTAGTCTGGCATGGTGGCGCACACATATAATTGAACCTGGGGCCTTTTGCACGCTAAGCAAGTACTATACTACTGAAGTATACCCTCAGTCTTCACATCACTTTTTTTTTTTCCATACCAGGGACTAAACTCAGAGGTTTTTAAACACTGAACAATATCACAGCCCTTTTTATTTTATCTTTCATTTTGAGACAGGGCCTTGCTAAATTTCTGAAGCTAGCCTTGAACTTGTGTTACTCTTGACACAGCCTTCTGAGTTGCTGGGATTACAGGTGTGCCCCCCACACCTAATTTCATATCACTTTAAAAAAAAGTTTGAGCTGCAAAACAAAATGTTTATAGAGTTTTAAAATATATAATGATAGGAACTATTTCATTAAAAGTTCCTAACATTTAAAAAAGGTTCCAAATATAATATTAAAATGGAGGATATTTGTAATTTATTAATTAGAATATTACTTATAAATAACTTTTTAGAGTATCAGTTATATAAAATCCTCTGCCTTTGCTTATCATGGTCCCTTCTATCTTTAATGTTCTACATGTACTTTCAGGCCACTAAAATCTTACCTAGTTTCAGGGCCAGCTCAACACTACATCTTAAATAAAGGCTTCTTTGAGGACCTTAATACACAATGATATGATCTCTTTCTTTTAAAGTTTGTGGAACATTCTATCTACACTGCAATGTTCAACTCTTTTTTTTTTAATATTTATTTTTTAGTTGCAGTTGGACATAATACCTTTATTTTATTTATTTTTATGTGGTGCTGAGGATCGAACCCAGGGCCTCCCATATGCTAGGTGAGTGCTCTACTGCTGAGCCACAACTCCAGCCCCCCAACTCTTAATAATACACTTAAAAAAATATTTTTTTAGTTGTAGATGGACACATGCCTTTATTTTATTCATTTATTTTTATGTGGTGCTGAAGATCGAACTCAGTGCCTCACACATGCTAGGCAAGCACTCTAACACTGAGCTACAACTCTAACCCTTAATACTACACTTGATGTTATTATTTTCTAGTTGTTTCACAAGTCTGAGCCTTTTGCCCAGTTTATAAATTTCTGAGATAGATTTTACATATTTTAACCCACATTAAAATTTTTTGCAATATGGAACAAAAGAAAAATTCTTTAAAGTGTAAGAGTGATATGGTAGTTATTCAAAAGAATCCACCTAACATTCTTAGGTTTTTACATATCTACATTTACTTTATTACATGTGCTAACTGAAAACCTTTGTTTTCTGGAACACTATTTAAACTTCTCAATTTTAGAAAAGGAATGATTTTCCTATTCAGATGGTAAACTGGCACTGCTCCGTCCTCAAAACAGCCAGGAGAATCCAAAGAAGAAAACATGAAATCTAAAAAATAATAACCACCACCCTTAAAAAAAAAAAAAAAAAGCAGCCAGGCATGGTGGCACACGCCTGTAATCCTAGCACTCAGGAGGCTGAAACAGGAGGATTGCGAGTTCAAAGGCAGCCTCAGCATAAAGAAAGGCGCTAATAAGCAACTCAGCAAGATCCTGTCTCCAAATAAAACACAAAACAGGGCTGGGGATGTGGCTCATTGGTAAGGTACCCCTGAGTTCAATCCCCAATACCAAAAAAACAAACAAACAAAAAAAAAAAACCCCAAAACCCAAAACAACAACAACAACAACAAAAAAAAATCCAGAAAGCCAGGGAAAAGGGAGACTGTAAGTTGGTTGTTTAAACTGTCATGTCTTTGTATATGTGATGAAAAGAGCTGCTAAGGGAGTACTTGAGTAGTTATGTTATTAATTTATGTATCAAAGCAAAATATGAAGAGAAAGCAGAAAAACCCATAATTATAGTGGAAGAATTTAGCATATGCCTCTCAGTAGAAGAACAGACAAAAAAAATCAATATAAATAAATATAGATTAATATAACTAGCCCAATGTATTCATGAACATTTTTCAAACATAAAAGGAATATTTATTTAAAAAAAAAAAAAAAAAACAGGATAGGGGCTGGGGATGAAGTTTTGTAGTATCACACTTCACTAGCATGTGTGAGGCTGAGTTCAATCTCTAGCACCACCATAAAACAAACTATGAAGAAGAAAGATGGCTGAGCACAGTGGTGCACACTTATAATCCCAGAAGGTAGGGAAGCTGAGGAAGGAAGATTATGAGTTCAAACCCAGCCTCAACAACTTGGTAAGACTCTGCCTCTAAATTAAATACAAAAAAAAGGGTTGGGTTGGAGATATAGCTCAGTAGTTAAATGCCCCTGGGTTTAGTTCAATCCCCAGTACCGAGGGGAAAAAAAAAAAAAAAGAAAGAGAGAGAAAGGTTATCTTGCCACTGTTTAATTCTGTTCTACAGCAGCAAAATCTAAGATATACTGGTGGAGAAGCAGAAAAATTAGTAAACCTTCAGGTCTATTTCTATGATTAGTTGTATCATGATAAGGGAAATTTTTTCCCTTTTGAGTTTCAGATTTCTTAATCAGGAACGTGGGTAGGTTTGTGAGAATTTTAAAAGATAATTCTAATTCTTCATTGTGTTTTTCTTTTAAAAATCTACACAGGACATCTGTAATCTATATGAAGCAAACATTTTTATACATTAGAAAAAATGACTCAGCATAAAATTATTTCATTATACACACATAGTGTTTTAGTCTGAGCATCTATGTATCAAAACTGGTCCTTATAAGCTGAAACACACTTCACCAAATGCACTTATTTTACTCATCCACCTTACCTGTTTCATGGCTTGCTTCTTAGCAGCTTCTCTCTGAAGGCTTTCACTCACGGAGGTCTACAAAATAGAAAAATGCTGTCACTGTTTAAACCAATTAAACCAATTTAAAAATTCTTATCCAATATTCTTGTTGGCAACTGGTTTCTTATTTATAGTTAAAAAGGGGAAAGATAGCTGGGTACAGCATGCCTGTAATCCCAGCTATTTGGGAGGCTGAGGCTTTTGAGGCTAGCGTGGGCAACTAAGTGAGATCCTGAAAAAAGGGATATGGATATAGCTCAGTGGTATATATTTTTTTTGGTATTGTTTTTTAACCCCATCCCAAAGTAATGTGAGATAATGAATATGCTAATTTGTTTTACTATAGTTAAGTTTTTAAAAAAATTATCTATATATCCCCTAACAATTTGTTGTTACACCATTAATATACACAATAAAATTTACTTTTTAAAAAAGTATCACTGGGGAGGTGGGGCGCTGAGGTTGTGGCAGAGCGCTCGCCTAGCATATACAAGGCCCTGGGTTCCATCCTTAGCACCACATAAAAATAAATAAATAAAAATAAAGGTATTGTGTTTAACTACAACTAAAAATATATACATATTTTTTTTTTTTTTAAGTATCACTGTGACCAGGAGTGGAAGTATACAACTGTTATTCTCAGCTACCAGGAAGGCAAGGCAGGTGGACTATAAGTTTGCGGCCAGCTGGTCAAGATAAAAAGTAAAGAGGACTGGGGATGTAGTTCAATCCCTAGCAGTGCCAAAAAAGAAGTATCACGTATATAATGTGAATATATTCATTAACACCATATAATGTAAATTTATTAATGAAAACTGAACTACACACTTTCATTGTGTATGAATTGTGAATATATTAATGAACACTAAACCACGGCATGTGAATTTTATCTAAAATATAAAACTACTGATTAATTTAATCTATACCTTCCTCTCAATTTTGCTGTGAATCTAAAACTGCTATAACGCACCCCCCCACACACACACTCTCTCAGCCGTAGGATCATAGGTTTTAGCCTATTGGTTATTTTCAGTTGTAAGTATCAGTAATTGGTGCTCTCCCCGCCATGGCAACAAACAACAAAATACATGTAATTCCAGTTCCCTATAATCACAGAGATAAACTTAATACCCAAAGGTTCCCTATTAAGTGATACAATGTTTTCATTCCTTAGAATATCAATTTAAACATGAAAACTGATAATAATAAATATTTCCAATGTATTTTATAACTCAAATTAACATAAATGAAATATATTTTTCTTGATTCTCCTGCGTAAGTCAGGGAAAACAAGGAACTGAGCAAGAAAAGAAACATATTTCATATATGTGCCTGACAAATAAAACAAAACTAAGATATAAGTGTGATCATATTATTAACCTCTAACTTCAGAGTTTCTACACTGTATACACTAAGAAGTAAGTACAAAATAACGGTCACAAGGCAGACCTGGGGATCTTGGCTGACTTTTAGTCTAACTCTGTTATTCCAGGTATTTTAACTTTTTTCTAGTTCAGTTTCCTCATCTAGTCAAGAGTATTTATCTCACAAGGTCCCCCCCTCCCCCACCTCTTGGTACTGGGGAATGAACTTAGGGCCTTGCCCATGGGTTCATCCCTAGCCCAAGGTTTTTTTGAAGATGAAATGAAATAACATGTAGAAAGCACTTAGTAGCTGACTCAAAGAGTTAGCTATCATTTATATTGCTATTACTACGTTCATGTTTAAGAACATGGGGCTTGGGCTGGGATGTAGCTCTTTGGAAGAGCTCTTGGTCCCCAGCACCACAAAAATCAACAAAAGAAACAAAAACCAAGAAATTTAAAATGACACAGGGCTTCAGAAATGTTCATATTAAATTTGAAGTAAAAAAAAGAAATGCTCACATTAAATTAAGGTTTTTTTTTCCCTTGGAGTATGATTGTTAAAACAAACTGTTGACTGTGGGAAGCCATTCTCTGAAGTGATTTGAGTTACCTCCCTGGCTGGGTGAGAGGTGCTCAAGCAAGCTTTGTCAGAGCCTTCCCCACCCTGTCTCAGGTGCGAGGGCTTGTCCATGCGGTGGTGTGCCTGACCACTGACCTGAAGACCAATCATTGACCCTGACCTTGGAATGCTGCCCCCCTCCATCTTCATTGGACGGAATTTTCCCTTGAATTTTTTTGTTCCCCAATAAAAGCTCACTCCCTGGCGTGTTCCCCCCCACCCTCTCTCTCTGGCCTCTTGTGTTAACCTCACTACCGCATTAGGTGGCTGGAGGCAGGAGCTAGGAGGAGCAGACTCTGAGCTGGGCAAATAAGGTAACTGAGAGTCATGTCTCTTTAATTTAAACTCACCAGTTAATTTCTATGCTTCGAACCTCTATTATGAAGCTAGCATGCTGGACACGTGGCTGAGTTCACCAGAAAAGCATGCAACTATATTCCACTTTGAAATATATTTTTCAGTGTGCTTAATAAAACACAAGGTCCATATCTACTTGAAGTTACATGATATGATCACATTTGCACCTATGAAAATAGGAAAATCTATTTTGTTGACTATTTAAAAGGCTGCCATGTTTCAAGATTCTTTAAGGTTTTATGTTCAGTATATCAATAAATAGGAAATGAGAGATACATACATTACCATAAGAGCTGTGATTTAACTAGAAATGACTTTCTAGAATTGACAAAGAGATTTACTTGGAACTACTCATAAGTAAAAATACACCACCCCCAAAGCATGAGTAGATTATAAAGAACTCTCCTTTGAGGGAGTCTTCTACTTTGCTGCTCTAATAACTACAAGCTTGAATCTGACAGTAAGAACAGGCCAACTGAACAGATATCTATCTGCCTTTAATAGTCACCCTGGTTTGGGGTGAGAGGGGAATACTCATTAAAGCAGTTTTATTTTTTCTAACTTTATTTTAAAATAATTATAAATTTGAAAGAAGTTGCAAAGAAACATATAGGAGGTACTATACTCCCTTTGCCCAACCTCCCCCAATGTCGACAACATGCTTAAATAAAACAGAACATCAATACCAGGAAATTGTGTAGCTTCATGAATCTATGGCCCCAATCAAGATACATATAACTGAACCATTATTGACATGAACGCTTTGTGCTACCCCTTTACAACCATACCCATCCTTCTTCCACCCTCCCTAATTCCTGGCAACCACTAATCTGTTATCTTTGTAATTACATTTCATGAACATTAAACAAATGGAATCATGCAGTACACACCCATTTGAGATTGGCTTTTACAGCGTTATTTTCAAGGAATGCATTTTGATTAGTTTAGAAATCACAAAAAAGTTAATACCACCAAATACCCTAGCCTACAAAACCTAAGGCAAAATAGCCGTTAAAAAAAAAACACACCAAAAAAACCCCAAAAAACCTATGGTTGAATGTGACCACACCACACAATATGATCACTGATTCCAAAATTAGCACACAATTATTTTTATTTTGTCTGAAGACTAGTTCACGGAAAAACTTAAGATGGTAAATGTTCACTAATGGTGCTTTCTCATAAAACCACAAATTATTAGTTTTAAATTCAGAAAGACAAAAACTACTCTCTTTAAGGGCCTTTAATTTTTTGTTTTGTTTCAGTTTATAAACAGGTTCAAAAAGTTCAGTTGCTCACTGAAAGTGCAAAATCTACACAGATATTTTGAAATAGATTTCCTACCAAAAACCTCAGGAAATTACCTTTTCAAAACTCTGGAAATTGCTTGCAAATGTTTTCTGCATCTACTATGTGTATAGTAATTAGATTAAGTGCTACACAAAGCTTAAAATCTAGGGCTGAGGGTTTATGTAGCTCAGTGGTAGAGTATTTGCCTACTCTTCAGCACCCCACGCCACCCCGTTAAAAAAAAAAAAAGTTTACAATCTAGTGGAAAAGAAGGCATTTGGTCAACATTTTAACTTTTGAAAAGTTGGTAGTTTCTACTCATTTTAACTTCCAAGAAGAAATGAATACAAAAAAGAAAACACCTAGCCTATAACACACACGATTATAAGAGTAAAGATGTGGTCATGTATAGGCCCCATAAATTATAAAATTAAGAAAAAAATGTTGCAGGCTGGGGATATAGCTTAGTTGGTAGAGTGCTTGCCTCACATGCACGAGGTCCTGTGTTCAACCCCTAGCACCACAAAAAAAAAAAAAAAAAAAAACCAAACTAAACCAAAACACCCCACTGCAACTGGATTTTCTTGTCTTCCATTGTTCACTGTAGAGAATAAAATTAACCAATGTAATGTTTGTTTCATTTCATTTCGAACTATAGTTAGATTTGGCTTGACTAGATGGAAGATCTTTTTATCTAAAAGGGGGAAAATAAAACCTTTATAATTAGCTCAGACAAATGGAAGGGAAAGTACTTGATTGTGTACCTTTCTTATGTCACCCTACATGTTTAAATGGGTTGTCTTCTGGGTTGTGATGACTACTAAAGAGAAGTAGCCCTGTAATATTATTAGAACTCCTTCACCAAGAAACAGAATAAAATTACAGATACTAGCCCACTATTTATATTATTAAATTACCTTTTTAAGTACTAACTTTTTAACACTGAACAAATATTTAGAAAAAGATTCTGAATTTTTTTCCAGATATCAATCTATCATTCCAAAGCTAATAAAGCACAATAAGCAAAGATTGTTCATGGGTTTCTTTCTAAAATAAGAGGTTTACCTATCCACTTGTCCAAAATAGCTCTTAGCTAAAGAAAAATAGTTCAAGAATCAATCTTTCTGCAGATGGGTTACAGCTACAATTTTCTGTTGTGCTGAGAACTCAGAGATGAGAACTTCCTGTTCTTTTTTTAATTTAAACTTAGGAACAGATCATTTATTAAAGGTCTTATAACTCAACAATCTTTACTATTGGTTTTACTTGCTCCCATTCACAGAACTCCTGTAAATACAAAGCCTGTTTAAGAGTTGTGAAGAGAGGGCTGGGGTTGTAGCTCATTGGTAGAGCACTTGCCTAGCATGTGTGAGGAGGCACTGGATTCAATTCTCATATATAAA